TCATCCAGCATCAATAAGCAACGCAACCCGAGAGGTGACCATGCAAAAACAAGTCTTTTGACACCATCGAACGCTTACATTGGCAACTCTTCCCACGCGTCTGGCAACCTACACCTGATGCTCTGCCCAAAAATGGAACAGGTTACCTGTTTCATTGTTGGTCTGGGGACTAATGTTTTGTTCATTTGAATAAGGGTGGGTCTTCAAGTTGTTATTCTGTCTGGGGTGTTGTGTGGTGCGTTTGTTTTGACATTTTCTACATTGAACAAAAATACAGTATAGTGAGCCGTTGTAAAGTTTACAAAGTTGAATCATTTCAAATCTAATAATATGGTAAAACTATCGCTTCATCTCGGGAAGCAGGGCATAGTGCTTTTACCCGCATCAGCGCGGTATATGCTAGGAACAGCATAATGCGGCGTTTGGTTTGACCCCAACCACATACTATGTCAGAATGATGCTCCAAGACCATCCTAAAACCTTACTCAAACAGGTAGGGTTTGCAAAAATCACATCGTCCTATGCAATGCACCGCATGGCATACTGCTATGCTGGGCACACAATACAAATACCCAAATGACCCCCTCTCACAAAACGATAGATAACCTCACAAAAACCCTCCATTAAAAACGAAGAAGGTGAACAGGATTGAGATGAACACAAAAAAACACAACAGGCAACCATCCACCCCCCACTTTTACTTTCTTCCAACAGTCGTTGAATTTACGTCCCCAAGCGTTCGCGAGTGTCGCGGTCGCAGTTCCAATGGGGAAAGCGAAAAACGCGCCATTTAGATGACTTGAAGCGTTGTGCCCCTGTGCGGGAATCGTAGCTCTTTGCATGTCAGATGCTGTTTTGCTGCGCAGGCGCAGGGTGTTGTGAAGGTTCACGTTGGCGTTGCAAATCCATTGTGATTCGCGTTTCAGGGGTCGTTGTTTTGAGGTGTTTTGCTTGGAATGCGCGCGCACGAGCGTTTCCTCGAATGTCGTTTTCGTTGGCCCTGTCGTACAATCGGCTCGTTTTCACGGGTCGAAATCATTCTGGCGCTACAGTCCCACGCCAGTTTTCCGCGTGCGATGCGAGAGTGTCAAATTCTGATTTCGTGGCAGGCGCAGAATTTTGAGCGCAACATCATTTCTCGTGACAGGCGCAACACTTTCGAGCCGTTCATGCAGATTTCGTGGCAGGCGCGGCACTTTAGAGCTATTCGTGCAGATTTCGTGGCAGGCGCAGCACTTTCCAGCTTGCGTGCAGATTTCGTGGCAGGCGCAGCACTTTGAGGGGTCGAGTCGCTCTTGCCGCGGCGTGGTGCGCATTTGGAGACTGCAAAGTGAACCCTCTGCGGACTTTGGGCGGGTTGAATCGCTCTCGCTGTGGCGCGGTGCACATTTTGAGATCGCAAAGTGAACCCTTTGCGCGCTTTGGGCGGGTCGAATCGCTCTCGCTGCGGCGCGGCTCACATTTTGAGATTGCAAAGTGAACCCTCTGCGCGCTTTGGGCGAGTCGAGTCGCTCTCGCTGTGGCGCGGTGCGCATTTTGCGCACTTTGGGCGGGTCGAATCGATCTCGCTGTGGCGCGGTGCACGTTTGAGATTGCACCTCTGCGCGCTTTGGATGGGTTGAACTGCTTTCGCCGTGTGGTGGGGAGCACATTTTGAGATCGCGAAGTCGTGACGATACACGTGACACGAAACGCGAGTAGGGTCGTGGCCAGAGACATGAGAAAGACCACGAAAGACAGGACGGGAGATGTGACGGAGTTGTGACGTGAGGCGCGTCAAGACACATGATGAGAGATGTGATGAAAGTTATGACGAGAGACGGGACCAGAGTGGTTACGACAGCCGTGACAAAGAACATGACCAAAGACGTGACAAGAGACGTGACCAGGGGCGTGACGATGGATGTGACAAGAGGCGTGCGAGAGACGTGACGAGAGATGCGACAAAAGACGTGACGAGGATCGTGACGCGAGAGGTTACCAGAGACGGGACGGCAAATATGACAAGAGACGTATGAGTCGCAATGAGAGGCGCGGCGGGACACATGATGAAAGATTTGACGAAAGTCATGACGAGAGACGTGGCCAGAGTTGCTACGAGAGACGTGACAAATGACGTGAACAGAGACGTGACTATAGAAACGTGATTAGAGTCGCGACGCGAGATGTGACAAGAGTCCGCATTCGGTTTTTTTTGGGGGGGGCTGGCACACTTGTATGTTGAAACAGCCTTTGTTGGGTCTCTCACGGACTTGGTTCCTCCCACCTAGGTCACCTCTCAAACGGACAGGAAACATATCAGACACCAACCCGCCGGGCTTCCCCAAAATAGTCCTTCTTCATAACCTCTTGAAGCAAGCTCACGTTCTATTGGCCCAACAAGGTGAATTTTGAAACCCACACCGGGAAGTCCTCAAGTGACACTGGTTGAAAAAGGGTCACCTTTTTGTGTGACTTGACTTTGTTAACAGCGGGAAAAGGAGGGATTTCAAAGAGCATT